ATATATTAACAAAAAGTAACTGACATTTATTTAATTGAATCAATCACGAAGAAAACTTCAATTTGATTTGATCTACACCCAACAAAAGTAAAAAATTTGTTCCCAAAAAATTATTTTATCCTAATGATAATTTGATTATCATTGTCTATATCATATCATTGTCATATCATTGTCATATCATGTCCATGCCCTATTCTTAATACTATACTTAAATAAAATTCAAATTTATTTGGTTAGATTATTTCTCGTATATGTTAAAATGTCAAGATTTTTTATTAATATTAATGTTAATGAATTCTTCGTTCCCTCCTGAATTCAACTTTAAATAAGTCTATAATTAATTTATTTGAAAGATCTTTGAAAAGAAATATTGATCAGATAATATAAGTTGACATTGAACCAGAACAAGATGACAATTATGACAATAATCAAACAATATAAGGTGATGACAATTATTTTCAAATCATTACAAGATGATAACAATCTCTAAAATTTTTATACAATTTTTGCACAAATCCTTAAAAAATTTTGTGCAAATTGAATTTTATACACAGACAACAATTAGTAGTGCCGGTGATGACAATAATTTTTGAGATGATAAAAATCATGGTGTTTTGATCATGGGTATTGTTGGTAACATTCTCTACATTAACTCTATAAAAAATTAAATTATTTTTTTACTTTGAAATAGAAATGAATATATCATTATAGCAAATGTTCCCACACTAAAAAATTCAGATGATGTAATCATAGAAGTTGGACAAACAAATGAGATTGTTTATATATCAGATGTTTTAAATGAGAGATTCCTTCTATCTTCAAAAATGGGACTTGGTTTGAGCATATAACTTCGCTTCCACCAAAGTGAGCCTTTTAATATGTGTTCATTCATAATCATACTATCATTATATTGTTAAATTTATTAAATTTATAACGAATTTTCTTTATTAAAAAAAAAAACAGAGTAGATAGAAATCAAAAGGTTAAAAAAATCATTCTTCATAGGGAATTGGTAAAAGTTATTATAAAAAAAATAATCAATAAATAAGAGTGAAGGATTCATTTTTTTCCCCAGTATCTATAGATTTATTATTATTATATATATATATATGTTTATTTCGTTTATATATATATTTATTTATTTGGTTTTTTTTTCTGTATATTAAAAAAAGAAGGTGGCGGTGATTATTGATCATGTATTTTGATTACAAACTAAAATGTCCAAAAAATGCCAACAATAACAATATGGATATTACGATTGATGATGATGACGAAACAATTAGAATAGAAAGTGGCGAAGAAGGCAGTGGTAGTGATAATAATATCGAAAATGTTTATATACCCTAAATAAAATTTTGAAATTTTCCACTTCTAAAAGTAACTTCATTCTACACTACAATTTGATATTGGAGGCCAAATATATTCCTATACAATATTGGTTATGTATGTCATTATTAATTTCATATTTAATATAAATAATTCATTATTAGGATTTTGCAATTTTGTCATTACGCTATAGTTTCAAATAGCCTTTCTTAATGTATTCGTTCTAAGGATTAAACTTTAAAAGGTTCAATACTTGTGTAGAACCTTTTGTGCAAAAATTCTTTGATTCATTTGAAGATTTTTAATTAGCAACTATTACCACCCATAAGTCATTGGGAAAATTTCCATTCTTTTTTTTTTGATAATATATTATTCAAAATGTTTTCTCTTGTATATACTGTATACTTGTAAATAAAATTTTCCTTTTATTTGTTTTCTCATTAAAGAGCATAAAAAGAACAGCAATAATCACAAATCCCCAAAAATATATTTTATTAAGTGCTGAAAAGATTATTAATACATAAAGTCCACTAAAATACAAAATCCACTAGACTTCAGGCTAGCTTCCTTCTAAATATTGCTGGCCTCTACCCAATATTTCGTAGGCTTCTAACCCACTATTAAATCCTTGTAAGCCTCTAACCTACTCCAAATAAAAATCCGTTTCTATTGAAAGGCCTCATGTGATGTAACGGATGATTGTTTATCATTGCGTGACTGCCATAGTAATAACCGATTTGTTCTAATTGATCAACACTAACTATTTAACTATCTCACGGTTTATATATAGTTTATATTATATTTTATAACCTTGACAACAAGAAAAAAAGAAAATAACTGAAATAATGAATGAAAGACTTTTTCGTTTACCATTTGAATTCAATGATGATGAGCTTGGTCCATGGGATGTCCTGCTCAGCAATTATGCAATTGCAGATATGCGAAAATTGGAGCCTCTTACAGTCAAGGCGGTTATGGAGAAACTCATGCAGATATCAAGTGGAAAGTGGAATAAATATAGACTGCAACATACAGTACACTCTTACATTGTACCTATTTATGAAATGGAGTTTCCAGATTATGGTGGCTTGAAAATTCTCTGGCAAGTTGATTATGGATTCTCTATTCGTAGAAATTCACTCATGCAACATGTGGCAATTTGGACAGTCACTGTAAACCAAGAGCAAATCAACGAAAAATTAGAAAACATTGCATTACTTCATCAATTCTACACTCCTGAGCATGAATACTGGTGCACATTCCAACAGATTGGAAAAGATGGTATCGTTTTACCAAAATCCTTTGAAGATGAGGATGGAACAAAGTCTACCCAGAGCAAATTGAATGAGAACCAATCAGATGATAAAAATTTGTTGAAGGTTCATGAAATGCTTACCACAAACAAGTTTTTTCCATTATCAAAGGTAGAGTGTAAATGTGAATAAATCATTATTGTTTAAAGATTTAGACAAAATACATTTTAACTAAAGTTACATAAATAATCTTTGTTTGTTTCCAGAACTTATTTAAGTCACTTGTCAGAGGTGGTACCGATTTTACCTTTCAGGTATCTAAGCTTGAGTATGAAATTATTAATCATCCTTCATCAGCAATTGTCATTGGTCGTTCTGGTTAGTGTTGTTGATATAGGTGTGCTCTTGTAAATGGAGAAAAAGTTAATATTGTTTGCTTTATTTGATACCCAGGAACTGGAAAAACCACATGTATTGTGTTCAGACTTCTTGGTTCATATCTGACTAGTCAGCTTAATAAGACATCATCTTCAAATGACAATAATGCTAATTCTCACAAGAGACAAATATTCATTACGTTGAGTAAAAACCTGTGCTGTAGAGTAAAAGAATATTTCAACAAACTGCAAGGGTCAGCAAAACTTACTAATGAAAAGATGTCTGTGGCTCAATTTTATGAGTGTATAAGTAGAAAAGGAGAGGAAGAAGGTAGTAGTAATATTGATGTGAAAAATGTCACAAAATTAGAAAAGGGAAATACTGTGGATTATGCTCCAAACTCATTCCGTGAGCTTAAAGATGACCATTTTCCATTGATAATTACCTATGAAACATTCATTGAAATGCTTCAAAAAACTTATCCACCCAAACAAGGTACAGATGACAATGCATCATGGAAACATATTGTAAAATACAGATCCTTTGCAAAAAAATATTGGTGTCATTTCAATGATTATTATACAAAGAACTTTGATTGTGGGCTGGTCTTTTCTGAATTTTCTATCATTAAGGTATGTAACAATATGTAAAATCCCCACATGAAATTGACCTTATGTAATTTAGCAATTATTTTTATTTTGTTAGTTCAAATTTATTGTTATAATTTAATTAACTGTTAATTATGACAGTGCTCTATTTAAATGATTTTTTCAAAATTTCCTAAGGGCTCTAATCCAGAAGGTGAATACCTATCAAGAGAAGATTATCAAGTCATTAGCACTAAAAAATACCCAACATTTTGCTACAATCGTGATGAAATTTATGATTTATTTCTAGAATATGAAAAGAAGAAGTCCTTGAATTCTGACCATGACTCAATAGATCAGTAAGTATCAGTCAGATAATATATAAGTTTTTCATTTTTTTGATAAATTATCAAATCTTTTTTTTAGGACAATTAAGATCTTAGATTGTGTCAAAATGGATCAAGAGAGAGAGAATCCATTTAATTTGCAAATTCATGAAGTATATATTGATGAGTGTCAGGACAACAGCATTGTGGATTTAGCACTTATTTTAAAGCTCTTTAAACATGTTGACAACATTTTTTTGGCTGGAGATATAGCACAATGTATTGCAAGGGGATCATCTTTTCGATTTCAAGGTATGAATGCAAGAAGACAGCTAAGGATGATTACCACACATAGTATTTTTTTAATATTCATTTATAATAACAATGATTTAATCTTAATATAGATCTAAAGGCTTTGATATATAAATGGGAACTTGATAGATCCAATCGACCTAGTGCCATAATGCCAAAACTGTTTGAAATGAATATTAATTATCGATCACACAATGGGATCCTTAGACTTGCTTCATCAGTAATTGATCTCATCACTCACTTTTTTCCTGAATCCATTGACCATCTGCCACGTGAGCATGGTGAGGTTGGTGGTCCTCGACCTATGGTTTTTGAAGGGATTGATGCTGAAACATTTTTTCTCCTTGACTTTTCTAAGGATGGGAATGAGTCAAGTAATGTTGAATTTGGTGCTGAGCAGGCCATTATTGTACGTGATGATGAAGCTAAAGAGCATGTGAAGGAAAAAATTGGTGAAGAATTTGGATTGGTATTAACTGTGTTTGAGTCTAAAGGGATGGAGTTTAATGATGTGCTGTTGTATAATTTCTTTGCTGATTCACCTGCACATTCAAAGGTAAAGTATTATGCACTGTTTGAACTATGCCATATTAATCACTTATTAAATAATTATATGCACATATTCAGTGGCGGGTAATTTTCTCTGCTTTTGACAACCATTCAAAAGGAATTCAAGAATTTTATCATGAGAAACATTATATACTTTCTTCAGAACTCAAACATCTTTATGTTGCAGTGACAAGAGCACGCCAGCAAATTTGGATATATGATGAAAACAGTGAATGGAGGGAGCCAATTTGTAAGTATTGGGAGCACCATGGATTGATCAATGTAATTGTGAATGAAAATGAAAACGATACTTTGTCTACTTTGGATGAGGAAGGAAGTGGTAGTCCATATCAACGTCACTCTAAACAAGCAAAAATTGCTTTGTCTAATTTGGCTGAGAAAAAGAAAAGCAGTCCAGATGAATGGGATCAACAAGGAAAAATTTTTTTTGAAAGACAGCAATATGATCTGGTAAAATTTGCATTTGAAGTATTCTTTCATGTGATGAACTGAGTTAACTAAATGAAATTAAACTGCTTTCAGGCTGTTTTTTGCTTCAAGAAAAGTGGAAATGAAGAGAATGAAGAGCTAGCAGAAGCATATCTTCTTCAGCAGGTTGCCAGAGATTCTATATATGATTACGATGATGTTTCTGTGAACTCCAAATTCATTAGTGCTGCTGAAGCCTTTGTAAAGTGTTCATTACCAATTCAGGCAGCTTCATGCTATGAGGTAGTATCTTTGTTTTTACTTGAATTTTTTTAAATTTCAGGAATGAATGGATGCATCAGGAAATTTTTTCAGACATAATTATTATGAGTTCATCATGTAAAACTAAATTGTTATTATTATTAGACTAATTAAGCCTGGAAGAATTCCCTGATGTGACACGAAATAGTGACTTTAAAAAATTAATCATGTCCATATGTATTCATCCAGGATATAAACAAGCATGAAAAAGCTGGTGACCTTTATGTAGAGTGGGATATGTTTGAGCCTGCTGCTCATTGTTACTCCAAAGCCAAAAAATGGGACAAAGCAGGCAATTATTTTCAACAGGTGGAGAAGTATACTGAAGCTTGTCAAGCTTATAAAAATGGTGGACTTGATGAAAAAGTAAAAGATTTGATTCAAAGGTAACTATTCCCATATATCTTAATTTATGCTTCACATATATATTAATGCTATTACCAAAACATGACTTTTTGAAAAATAAGCATAGCATGACATCTAGAAATTTTTTTATATGAATTTTATGTTGTAAAAAAACTTGTGGATGATAAACTGACACCTGTCCAATTATTTTAACAAGATACAGGCAAAAAATTGATGAAAATATCATCAATGATTATTATTACTCTATTGCCAAAGAACTTTGTTCATGTGGCAAGTTTGAAGAGGCCATCCATGTTATTATCATGAACTTGAATAAGATCAATTCAGAAAATATTGAAGTGTTAAAGTGTTTCATACACCTATGCAGAGTCAATGTAATAAAAAATATAATGACAAGTTCAAATAGCAAACAGGAAGTGAATAGCAAACAGGAAGTGAATAGCAATCAGGAAGTGAATAGCAATCAGGAAGTGAATAGCAAACAGGAAGTGGATAGACTTCTTTCCAAGGCAAATGAATTTGTAGAGAAATTCAAATCAAAATCATTGGAAAAATCTGAGCAGTGGAATAGTTTGATGAATGAGATTCAATTATATGTAGCTTATTTAAATGAGGACCTCAATAGTGTTTGTGGATGTATGCAATTCTTTAAAGGTCGCAAAGAACTTGTTGCAGAATTTTGTGCAATAAACATATATCTGCAAACCATCCCTCAATCAATAAAGCACTGGTATAAACGATTGCAACGTCTGTTAAGGTTATGTGATTTAACTTTTGGCTTTATAGCAAGTCAAAATGCCAACAATATCAAGAAAATATTTTTTGTAAACAAGGTTGAAAATTATTTACATAAATGGAAAATTTTCTTAGACAATCCATTCCTTAATATATGGGACAATATTCATCATAAAATCATGGGTGATTGGTGTGTTTATGATGCAGATAATTTGCATCTAGAAATGAAGAAATTCCTTGCCTCATATATCTTTGAGCTCATCTGTGAAGTTGACCAGAAAAGTAGATCTATTCCAGATGTAAGTTCTCACATCTGTCAATTTCTTCCACCCTGTCAAAAACCAGGTTGCAAAAATCATCATGTAGTTCCAACATCATTAATTCTGCACCAACGCTTGAAGCTTGCAAGTCTTACTTATACTGTTATTAGACAGTTGGATATAATCTACAATCAACATGGGCTTCTTGAAGAGGAGCAAAGTAAACAAGTTTCTGGAATACAAAGGCGATGGGCTGAAAACCTGGTTAAATATCATATACGTTATCAATCACCTAAGATAAGCTGCCCAGAAATAACTCAAATGATGCTTTCAGAACTTCCTAAACACACACGATCTGGATTTACTAGTCTTGCTCAAAAGATATGGTTATATAAAGAGTCCAAAGATGCTGGCAACTTTGCAGCTATGCTGAAATGTATATTTATTTTACAACAGTTGAAAGACAAACAGGGCATTGATGATTTTGATTCGGAAATGTCAAAAACAAAAAAGCTTTCATGCCCTGATGATTTACCTATTGGTTTTGAGAGGTGTGATGATGATGATCAAGCAATTCCAGTTGGAAAACGACTTTCATTATTCTTTAAAAATCTCTATGAAAATAAAGTCAATCATGCAATTTCAAATGCAAATGAGTTTATTTGGTATGCTATAAAAAATGTCAAATATGTCCAACTGGATAACTCTGATGCTTTGGGTGACCTTGTATCTCTTATGGAGTTTAAAATGGCTTTGGTTTTTGCAGCTGGTCCTAAATCTTGTGACTTTTGTCTTCCTCGAGCATATCTTGTTAATTATTTTAAAGCATTCACTATGAAGCCACTACTTTGGAATCGGCTACAATCTTACAACATGAAGGACTATCAAGCTATAATTGGTAATTCATTCAATCAAGTTAAGAAGCTTCTTTTTCATCAGGATGACCTGAATATTATTCTTAGGCTGATACGACTCTTGGTCCTTATCAGTCTGAATGAATTCACTTTTACACAAAAGATCTTTAATCTATTCAATCACTTAAATAATAAAATCTTTTTCCCTGAGACCAAGAAATATCTTGCTAAGGATTATATGAAAAGTTAAATATTCAATTATTTTTTAAAAATGATATTATAACATACAAATACATAACTGTTTTTTTTAATATTTAGACAAGTCTATAACAGAGTCACTTATGAAAATTTTGAACGAAGACTTAAAGGAAAACGGCTTTGACTCTCTAGTTATTGTTTATTACGATCAAGGTGGGAACTCAAAATTTTCCAACTATGAGAAAGATGGTATTGTGAAGCTTGCATACTCTTCTATTGAGGAATTTGATTCTGCTCTTCAACGAATCATATCACCACCCATTGCTGTTGTTTATGAGGATTTTGATCAAAAGAAGCTATTAAAAGAAAAGATTTACAATGAAATTAATATTTTTTGCCAGGATATCTTAAGAGAGAATGAAGGAAAGGCATTGAGCAGGTATATTATTCTCTTGAAAGGTCCAATGGTGGATTCAATAGTGAAGCTAAATGAGTTGCAGAGCAAAATGAATGCAACCCAAGTCAAGTTAAATGAGATGCAGGACAAAATGGATGCAACCAAAGTCGAATTGAATAAGAGAATTGATGATACTTTTGATATGGACATAGTTGAAGAATGTTCCGACCTTCAGGAAGAACTTAAGTTTGTTGACACAATTTTAATACTTCTTTGGTAGTTTCTTTCTATCATACAAACTCATTTAAAATTTTTCTTTTTAGGTCTATCCATTATGAAAATGTTAAACTAGCATTAAATTCATTGTTACCAACTGAGAATGTAGAAGAACACAAGCAAGAAAATGTTGAATGGTTAAAAAATAGATTACAAGAGGCGGATGATATAATTGATCAGGCTTATAAATGGCTTGATAAGTGCAAGGATACAATGAAATCTGAATAATTGTGAATTTCTATTTTTCTTTTGTTATTCTAATGAGATTCAGTGTAAAAGGTCATATGCCCAAATAAAATACAAAGTGTAAATAAGTTGGTTCGTTTGTAATGATGATGTTTTTTAATGTATATATTCTTTATTTAACAAAATTTTATATCTTTTTGATAATATATTATTCGAACCATCTATATATTTCGTTTCCTCCATCTTTTATTTTATTTTAAACATTTTGGCCCTAGTGTTAAAGAATAACAGCAATCATAAGATATATTTTACAACAATTGAAAAGAAATGATTGTTGCAACTTACAATTATATTGGTAATAAAGAGACCTTTTGCCTGTCACTTGGAGTTTGGAGAAATAATTCATTTTAGCTTCTTCCATACTTTTCGGCTAAAATAAAAACCAACATATTAATCATCTGATTTATCTCATTCTTGAATATTTAAAGGGTGGCATCAAGAAATCAGCCAATCAAGAACTTTAGCAGAACAATTTTGGATGTTTATCATTTAAATCAACGCAACCGCATAAACATCGATAGTATAATGTTAATGTTTGCATAATTTTGGGCAAGTAAATTTATGAAGCTCCTGTGAATACTGTAAATTTGGTGGGTTTTTTCATTATTATGATTCTTAATTGTTCGTAATCGCAAATCTTCTCTTAGGAATCATAATTATGAAGCCTAAAACAACATTCACTGATTACAACTTCCAGAATGTTAGTTGGTATAAATGACATCTTTGAGTTTCTCAATAACCATCTAAATGAATGCTTTGCTCGTTTCAGAAACTAAAATATCAATATTCAGTCTGAAGCACTTGGTTCTAGTAGTTTTATCATTAGGATAGAACATAAACAGATTTATGAAATTTTTCGCGCACCATTAGCTACCATCGGCTACTCCTTTAATCCCTGTGGCATTTGAACATTTAATATGTATACTAACAAAAGACAAAAAGGTCATTAGTAAAATTTAAAAATTATAATGCAGCATATGAATTAGCGCGCCGTAATTGACATGATAATTAAGCCTATATTCAAGTTATAATATAATTGCTACAAATATTTATTAATCGCATAAAATCCGAATTAAATTTATTGAAATCCATTAAAAATAAAAATAATGTTGTTGTTATCTGTAAATAAACAAACTACCCCAACCTAGATTTATTTTTGATGAGTATTAAATATATCTAATCAATTGATTACAGGTAATTGTTAATTAGCTGTTAATTGATTACAAGCAATATTACCACCTTGGATATGGGCCAAATTAAATATTGGGCTTTTGTCCATTACGGTGGTATACTACCAAAGAAATATAATTAATGCTGGTCCAGAGAATAGAAATAATATAATTGGATTTTTTCTTCAAATCATGTCATGTCATGCAATGTCCCATACGGAAATGATAAATCTTTGTCCGCGTTATTTATATTTCAAAAATCAAACTGTTGGAAGGCGTGGGAATTCATTTTTCGTATGTTCTCCGTGCAAGCTTTTTTATAGTAAAAGTAACTCTGTATCAATTAACTTTGTATCAATTTCCATTCTACAATCACCATTTGGTCCAGTGTTTCTTCCAGATACAAATTTGATATCATTGTGTTAATGAAAGCGAAAATATTTATGTAAGGATTGGGATAGAAAATAATAAAAATGGGTAGTTATAGTGGTTTCAGATGCTTTTATAGGTACTAAAAATGCAATGTATAAATGTGCATGAACCAATAAAAAATTGGTTTATCAGCCATGCTCTATCTATTATTATTGAACTGTTGTTATTAATATTAATCGTTGATAAAATAATTAATCGTGAGCGAAACAATTTAATCATGAATGTAACATATTTTCTAAAAAATAAAATAGGAATCTACAGTGGCAATTTCCAACACTAACAGGTTGGACGCCTTTAAGCACTAAAACAAAACATTTCAAAATATTAACAGATAAGTTTTATTATTTGTGAATTATGAATTATGTAATTCAGACGCAGCAATCAATTGTTTAAAGTACTTGATAATATAAAATAAGTGACCACTTATCGAGTTTACATATGAATTTAGCTCTGACATTAAAAATCAAAAAAAAAATTACATTAAAATATAAAATATATAAATTAAGGATATGCTACGGTGGATATGCCTTCTACACATAATAAAGTCCTGCCTTCGCTGACAACTGAATAATAAAATTGTAAATATTTATTAGAAAGTCAGTTTCCAAGCAAAATTAATAAACAATATGAGATAACTTACGAGTCGATTTTATGAGATATTGGATAGTTTCATTCACAGGTTGAGTAGGACTACTAGGAAACACATATTCTAGTGTAAAGTGAAGGTGTCCGGCCGGAATTGGACAATCTATATTAGGGGGTTTTGAATCACTTTCACAATAATTTACCTCGTTTGTAACTATTGGTGTACCATCAAGTAAGGTAACATTCAAGACAGAGACGGTTTCTGGTCCAATTTCGACAGTGCTATACCATACAACATGTTCTACGATATTATCACCAGGTATAATTATTGATGGAGTGTATATATCCTGTGTAACAACGATAGGAAAGTCACCATCACACTGAGTAAATGCATCAAATTCTGGTGCCCTTTTTCTGAGATCACTATGCGGAAGTGAATTTATTATTGTTGTAAATAATGTCAATAACAAGAACAAGTGAATATTATTATTATTAATTGCGTACATTTTTTGATTTGTTTTACTTTAATCAAATTCTTTTTTTATTTATATGAAAAAATCCAACACAAGATTCCTTATATCAGCATTGGAGTTTAACAAAGTAAAGAATCCTAAAGACTCGTGTGTGTTCATATACGTATATTAACGATACATCAGTATTTTTGCGAAGGTCAATCATTTACTAATACTAGTATTAAAATGTGGCAGTCCTATTTGGGATCGGACCGGACTTAAGTCTTGGGACTTAGAGTTCTGAAAAAGTCCTAAGCTTTTTTTATACATAAAATGTTCGTAACGTTGCGAGGTAGCTTTTGATCAACTTTGATTATTTAACGGTTTATGTCGAGCTTGGGTTAACTTTTTAGCTACACTCGTCGATTAAATTGTTTTACGAATTTATTTACAATTATCCTTCTAGCTGCTTTTTTCTTGTACCTATAAATCTTCGGTGAATCTATAAGCACAATTTTATGGCGCAAATAACAACGAATTATAATAAAAGCAACAAATCTCTCTTATAGAGTTCCTATTTAATTTTACTTTAAATTTACTTTGATTTTGCCGATTAAAGTCAGCCGTACGTTTACAACAATTACTTTTAACACAATACAATATGCGACGACGATAACTGTTAGCTCTTTGTATAGGTGGTTGA